CCGAGCCCGAGGGCCCCGGGGCCAGCTGCGCGGCCGCCGCCAAGGCGCCAGTGAAGAAGAACGCGAAGGTGGCCAGCGTGAGTGTGCAGCTGGAGATGAAGGCGCTGTGGGACGAGTTCAATCAGCTGGGCACCGAGATGATCGTCACCAAGGCCGGCAGGTCAGGGTGCCCCCCCCTCACTGCCCGCGACCCTCCCCACGAGGCCCCGGTCTCGGGCAGCGCGCCTCGGTCCGATCCACGCGAGTGGGACCGAGAAGCGGGGTGGGGGCGCGGCCCCGCCACCTGCGGCCCCCTCTAGGCGCGGGCCGGCTCTGGGTTCTCTGCGGTCCCGGCTCCAGCGACAACCGCCTGGCGCGCCGGGCGGGCCTCGGGGACGGCGCGGGCAGCTTCGGAAGGCCGGTGGAGAGAAGCCCTGCGGACCGGCCCGCCCCTCCCGCAGCCCCACGGCGCCCGCCGCCGGAAGCCCGGGCCGGTTCGGAGCACACCGGGCTAGGGGTTAGGCAGCTGCCCCTGAGCGGCCTCGCCAACCAGCCGGCTTCCAGTGGATCCCACCGCAAAGGAAATTCACGTCTCTAGTTCCCCAGTTCAGTCTATACGGGTTAGATAGAAACGGGCAGCTGGACAATTCTCTGGAAAATTTTGGGAGAAAGTTAAGACCCTTAAAAACAGTATGGTCTCTTCCGTGGAAGTTGCTCCCCGGTTTCCTCAGGCCTAAATTTCAGGTGGCTGTGGGGCCTGGCTCTGCTGCTGGGGCCCCCTGCCTTCCAATTGGCCTGTATTTGTTTGAAGGGCCCAGAGAGAAGGGGAACAAGTTTTGCGATGCAGCCGATTTGACCAGCAGACAAAGGCGGGTGCCGATCTGTGTGTAATGTACACACGGAGACACCGGCTCTTCTACCGCGCGGCCAAGGGGAGCTCAGGGCCTGTTTGCAGAGCCTTCTCGCGGTTTCTGTTTCCCTGCCGCGGCTGTCCTCCCTGGGGATCCTGGGGCCTGTGCTCAGCTTCAGCTCTGTGGGTCTTCCGCAGCCTCTCCTTACTGTCCCTTGAGGACGGCACCCCAGCCTCTGGCCCAGCCCAGCCCAGCAAGGGCCTTGGCGGGGGCCAGGCTTCATCCCAGAAGCCAGCATTCTGTAGCACCCACCGGCCTGCAGAGGTGGGGTGGCAGGCCTGATCAGGAGTCCCAGCTCCACGGCATCTGTTTTCTGCCCGCTGCCTGCACGGAGCTGCCTATGAGGGGAAGCCATAGGAAGGGCAGGTGGGAGCGAAGCCTCATGCTGTTCTCCAGGGCCCAGTGGCTGGTACTGCTGTGCCGTCAGGACAGGGCCAGCCCATGGCCAGCCGCCCCTCCAGGAGCTGCAGAATGTCCTTTCAAGAGCCTGGATGGGTCATAGAGTCAGAGTTCGCTGACCATGAGGGCACAAGCCAGATTGTCCCAGAGTAGCTGAGTCCGGGGGGTTATGGTGGCGGGTGGGAACTTGTGTGTGTCCCTGAGGAAGGTGGGGAAGACTCCATCACTGGGCCGGAGACAGGGCCTGAGAGTCGGGGCTGTGGGGATTGGGGAGCAGCCGCGGACCCAGCTGAAAGGGCAACTGGGACTCCTGGGAACCACACAGAGTGGCCGGGTTTCACTTTGTTCGAGCCGGGAGTTTACATCCGTCGCTCAGATAGAGCTGGGGGAGGCTCAGTGGAGGGCTGAGACTCTCTGGGACCGCGTCTGGGGAGTCTTGCCGATCGGGTGCTGCCGGCTGAGGCTAGCTCTGCACTGGACAGCCGAGAATTAGCAAAGGCTAGCTAGGCTGGCTCTGTGCGGGCAAATGTGGCAGGAGAAGCCATCGACTACACTGGGACGCGGAGGCTCAGCTCTAGTGCTTAGTGAGCCATTTTGGGTTCCAATAAGGGGGGCAGGGGACTGCCCTGCCACTCCACTTGCCCTTGGCTGGGCAGGGGCCTTACTGGGTTAGAGTGGCCGAGGGAGAGAGGAGAGGAGGTGGAGGGGCCAGGCCGCTGAACGCAGGAGCCAGCAGGAAGCCTACCTGTCCCGGGGTTGGTCAAGGTGGGGCAGCCCTGCCTTCCCCCACCCGAGGTGACCAGAGGCCTCGCCGCCCCCAGGCGCATGTTCCCCACGTTTCAAGTGAAGCTCTTCGGCATGGACCCCATGGCCGACTACATGCTCCTCATGGACTTCGTTCCAGTGGACGACAAGCGCTACCGGTGAGCGCCCAGCAGCCTGAGAGGGGGCCCTGGGAAGCGGCTGGTCCCTGCCTGGTGATGCCTCTGAGGGCAGCCCACGAGGACATTAGTGACCAGGAGTCCCGGCACCTGCCCCGGCTGCCCCGCCGACTCCCCTTGACCCGCTCCCTCCCCAACCCTGTCAGACCCTAGACCCACACACACCCCACCCCCAGCAGTTCTTGGGTACTCCCCTCAGGAGGTCACACTGGCTGGGCCCTTCCACCAGCTGTAGGCCCGAAACAGCTCCCATGCCCCTGGGCCAGCTTGGCCTGAGGCGGACAGGCCCCTCGCACACAGCCCTTGCCTTTTTTTCTCATCTCCTTCTCCCACGAGGTGAGCGTGGGCACCTTGTCCCCTTCCCCCATTCCCCGGGAACGCTGGGCCCTGGAGCTGAGCAGGAAAGGTGGGGTGGCGGGGAGAGATTATGCAGGGCGGGCCTCAGCTGCCCCGACAATTAACAGCAATTAATAAAGAGAACGTGGTCCGCCCTGCGCCCGAGGCCGCCGGTGCTGCCAAATTCGGGCCGCAGGCGGAGACCAGTGGTGGGGAGGTCCAGAGCGGGCAGACCCGCGTGCAGCGAAATGTGGAAATGTGGCGCCGGGAGCCCAGCCTCCTCCCTTGGTGCTGGGCTTCCTGCTGTTTTGTGTATTGGGACGGGAGGGCGTTTTCGGTTTTCTTCACGATCGCCCTCGGAAATACTCCCAGTCTGTGTGGCAGCCTGAGGCTCAATTTCACCGATGATGGGGAAACTCATCAGAGGCACCTTTGGGGTTCACTCAGCAAGGCCCTCCTGGTTCACCCCACATGGCATGACCCCTGTTCCGGTACTGCCCCAGGTACGCCTTCCACAGCTCCTCCTGGCTGGTGGCCGGGAAGGCGGACCCTGCCACACCAGGCCGCGTCCACTACCACCCTGACTCGCCTGCCAAAGGTGCCCAGTGGATGAAGCAAATTGTGTCCTTCGACAAGCTCAAGCTGACCAACAACCTGCTGGATGACAACGGCCATGTGAGCGATCCCCGCACCTCCCCAGGCTACGTCGCTATCCCCGGTGCGGGCCCTCCAGAGTCCCTGTTGACCAGAGCCAGAGGCAGAGAGCTTGGGCAGCTCGGGGTGTGAATAAGGGACAGGCTGAGGAGAGTAGGCCCCTCTGGGTCAGGGGCTCACAGGGCCTGGTGGCCCTCAGGCCTGGGAGAGGGTGTCCCCTTGCTTGCCGCACTCCACTCCTGATCTTTTGCTGGAGGTTTTTTAACTGGAAGGGATGGGGCCATATGGGGGGGTAGCAGCAGGAGGCTTTGCACAATCCAGGCGGGTGATGCCGCTTTCCTGCTGGCCTGAGCTCTGGCCTGCAGCCACCTACCAATCCCCACCCCCCCACCGTAGGCCCGAAGTAGTTCTCAGGGACCTATGGAAAGAGGATCAAAACCCTGATCTTTTGCCATTTGGAGTGTCTTTCCTGGTGGTCCCCAGTTGATTGCAGTCTCCGCTTGAGCCCCATGGCAGGACCTCATTTCGGGAGTTCAGAGTTTTGTCCAAGTTCTCTGGGGAGTTCACTGCCTATCCGGACCTTGGCCCATTTCCTAGTTCCAAACTTGCCACCTTGTCTTCCAGATTATTCTCAACTCCATGCACAGATACCAGCCCCGCTTCCACGTTGTTTATGTGGACCCACGCAAAGATAGTGAGAAATATGCTGAGGAGAACTTTAAAACCTTTGTGTTTGAGGAGACTCGCTTCACTGCGGTCACTGCCTACCAGAACCACCGGGTGAGGCCCTGGGATGGGCAAATTCAATACTTCTGGGTTGCAATTTCCAGTTGCGGCCTGGGGGACAGAGGTTTGGACCCAAAGGTTGTGGGTTCTGGCGGAACCCAACACCAATGGAGTCCCACCCCCAAGGGCCTCAAGCAGCCTCCTCCCCTCTGCTGCAGGCTGGCCCAGCCTCCTATCAGGTTGACCTCTCTAGCAGCAACTGTCAGTGCGGCCTGAAAGTTTGTTTTCCAAACCATTCCGGAAACTCCCCATCAGGGGCCTGATCCACGGTTTACCCAAATTCCTAGGGCACCCCCCCCACCACCACACACACACACCCTGCGGGGTGGTTGGTGGAGGTGACCACATTCCCATCCCAGCCAGGGACACAGGGTCTCCATCCCAATCACTTGGGGCCACAAAGGGGTTCCTTCGCAAGAAAGGAGCTTCCCCTTTGGCAGGAGAGAGGGACAACCTCAGTGAGGGAGTTAACTGTGGGAAGGTTCTTGTCCCGGAAGAGTAAAAGGGCCCTTATGGAGAAGCTCCTCCAAACTACCCTACCTCGGTGCTCCCACCCCCAGTGCAGGGGCTCCAGCCACTTGCTCAATGCCCGCCGCCCCCCCCCCACCCCGCCCCGCAGATCACGCAGCTCAAGATCGCCAGCAACCCCTTCGCCAAAGGCTTCCGAGATTGCGATCCGGAGGACTGGTGAGTGTCCTCTGAGGAGACGAAGACTGCTCCGGAGCCCAGCGGGGGTGTCCCCCTGACCCGCTGCCCTCCTCCCTCCCGCAGGCCCCGGAACCACCGGCCCGGCGCGCTGCCGCTTATGAGCGCCTTCGCGCGCTCGCGGAACCCCGTGGCCTCCCCCACGCAGCCCAACGGCGCAGAGAAAGGTAGGGCCGGGGTCGTGGGATCCGGGCCGTGGCCCTGCGCGCGCTCCGCCCGGGGCAGACGGCCGAGCATGGCCTCGCCCGAGCCCCAGGGGCGCTCGCGGCCTTTGCGCCGTTTGC